CCATTGTGACATTGTCGGGCCTCATGGAATCCTGGAGGCCATGATGACACTTGGAGGCCTTGTTGAATCAAGGGGCTCTGCAGGGCCTCATGGAACCAAGCAGACCCTTCTGACATTGTGAGTCCCCATGGAACCAAGGGTCCATTGTGACACTGCAGCACCAAGGAGACCCCTGTGACACTGCAAGGCCTCATGGAAGCCAGGGACCATTGTGACACTGGAGCCCCATGGAAAGAAGAGGCCAGTGTGACACATCTGGGCCTGATGGAAGCAAGGATCCAATATGACACCACCACTGTGACACTGCAGGGTCCCATGAATCCAAGGGAACAGGGAAGAGGTCTGGTTGGCTTGGCCTGACTGGTCCAACTGCCCTTAGCATGTCGAGGGTCTCTTCTCATGTACCCCTGAAACCCTGGGGCTCTGGGCTTTCCTTCAAATGGAAAAGAACTGTTCTTCTCATTGAAACATCCATGACCAAACCATGATTCCATCTCCAAAATTTCCAGTGTCCAGGGATATTGAGGTGGGTTTATCCTTTGCTCTAAGCCATAAAAACCCCTTCTAACTAACATACCCTTTGCCTCCTTGGTTAGCCAGTAAGACTGGTTCAAAAATTATTTTCTTCCATATCAAAACTTGCTTTCATTTCTATTCCTTCTTCAGATTCTACATTTAAAAATCTTTCTGCTAAGCATACAGATGTGTGGGACTTTCTTGTCAAACTTTCATCTTTTCCAACAGTTGGTGACGAATTTTGCTTTTCCAGAGGCCTCTTTTTTCTTGATCTCTTCAGTTCAGAAATTCAGCGAGAAAAGCTGATTAACATTTGTTCAAAACACCCAAGCAAGACAAGCTCATTGGAATAATTCAAATCTTCAGTTCTTCTGCGGTTAGACAGATGTCAGAAGTGTTTTCAAAGTGAACCTACTATATTGAAAACAATGAATAGAGAATTGTTTTGTCCTGTTTAGTTTTCTTTTCCTGTTTATAGATTGGTATCAGCAGTCCTGACTTAATATTGATCCCCAGCACCTCCTCATGCAGACTGAACACATATGAAAATCAAGACCCTTCATGGCTGACAATCAATCACACTTTGTCCCTACCCCCACCCCACCATTTCCCTCATCCAGCCCCTGGCACTGAGAGCAGCTGAGGAATGGAGTCACATCCAGGGGTGTCCCCAGGGCTCAGGATTGGGGCCAGGTCAGTGAAATCTCTTTATTTATGATGTGGATGATATCGCCAGCTGGGGCCTATGTACAAATCACAAATGGGAAGGGACTGCTGTGGAACGTGCCTTGAGCTGTTTTATTTCTCAGCATCAGTCTCATTACATGGGTATGACAATAGGAAGATGCCAGCAGCCCACATCCCAAGCAGCTGACCAAGAACTTAATGTTATAACTTACTTTATAAGTTTTTTGACCAATCACAGAAAGCAAAAGCACATTGACAGCAGTTCATTCCAACCACTATAAGCACATGTACCTTTGGTTAAAACAATGCTTGCCTATTTTGAATACAATACCTGCTTGTGAGCCTTAAAACACAATGCACAGAGCTCCATTATTAAGCTTCAAACTTCCTAATATCTTGCTAGATAAACTTTTCTGTAGCTTAGGAAGGTATTCTAGACAAGCATTAATACACAGACCATTGTTCTATTTGTTCTTACTTTTCTACTTTTTAAATAATTCTTCTGCTGACCTATCTCATGGCTACTGGGTACCTCTAACCACAGTTCTGCTGTCTCTGAGGCCTGCCTTGTGCAGCTTCCCCAAAACCCTCTGATTTTGTGGAGTCCCACACTGAACACAAGTTCAGCTATTTTAAACCAAATGCTCACTGATGTAGATAGTATTAGACATGGCACACTGCAAAATAGAGCTGCTATAGATTTTTTGCTGTTAGCACATGGACACAGGTGTGAGAATTTTGAAGGAATGTGTTTTATGAACCTCCTCTTTCCATTCACAGGAAACTCAAACAACTACAAGACAACATGAAGAAATTGACTCTGAATGATTTGGGCTTGGATGAATAGTTTGAGGAATGGGTAATAACTGGATGATTGAAAGATATCTTAAAGGGAGCTTTGTTATTACTAGTAGTTATTATTATATTGCTTTGTGCTATTCCAGCATAGTGAAATTTGTGACCCGCTTGGCAGAAAATACAGTGAAAAGGATTTGGGTGATGCAAGATGAAGAAGGGGAAATTGTAGCAATGTATCTAAACAACTTGGGCCACACTGTGCACCAGCCATACCACTTTTAGTTATTCTTATCAGAGCCATCTGGAATTAATCAAGGTTACTAAGACAGAAACTGTGCTAAATGAAGAATGAAAAGGCTGAGAAACAGAATACCAAGACCACAAGAACTCGATAACAGAAGGCTGTGAACCACCTGGACTGTAACCAATCACAAACTCTGAGAACTGAGTGCAGGACACATGGACAACGCAGAGGCACCGATGAAGAAGAGTGTGATTGGTGCATGCATTAGGGTTAGAATGTATAAATAGGTGCATAATGTAAACAATAAATGGCTTCTGCTTAATCATACTGGTTAGTAGAATGGGAGTCCTGTTTTCCCACAGTGGGTGCCTGGGAAGGAGGGAGGATTCTTTTCCATAAAAAGGAAAGCACTAAGCCAGGAGCAGGAGACAAGTGACCCTTGCAGGCCCGGGGCCTCATTGCCTCCTTGTCCCTGCTCAGCAGCCTGGCAGGGGCCGCCCCATGCTCCTGCCCTTGCCATTGCACATCCCCACATGCCAGTGCCCATCCCGGCAAGAGCCCTGAGCAAAGAGGGAGGGACAGCATCTGCCTGGCCAGGGGCTGGGGCTCAGGCCTTGGCCCTTTGCATTCCTCAAACACATCCAGCTTTGCTGAGCACCAGAGACACCTTGGCCTTGTTTGTCCCCAGCTGTCATCACTGCTTCCAGTGTTCTGCTCTAACTGGAACCAGGGGACACATTCTCAGAGAGACTTATTAAACTTTTAGAAACTTTGGAGTTTCAATTTAACTTTGAATCCTTGAGAAGTTTTTTGAAAACTCTCTGAGGGACTGGATCTGATGTAAACAACACCAAATCCCTGAGGGGCTCATTAAAGTCATTCTGCTGTGTCTGTGCTGCTGAGCTTTAAAGGAACAGCTCTTCCCAGGGCCAGCTCCTCTCCCAGCCCAGCCCAGCTGAGGGCTCTGCCTGCAGGCACTGAGGGGACAGGAGCCAGGCAGAGACAGGCTGAAGGCAATCAGGATTGGGAAGACATTGAGCTGAGACTTCACTTGGGGAAACATCTTCACAGCCCTGTGCATGGTGAGTGTGTGGGTGCAGGGCAATGTCCCCTGTGCTCCTGGAGGGATCTCCTGAAGCCAGCACAACTCACAGCCTGGGGGATGTGTCAGGAGGACTCTCCCAGTTTCTCTCTGGCACAGGAGCAGGAGGAGGAGGAGGATGTGCTGCAGAGCGGGGCTGCCCTGGGCACTGTCAGAGGGACAGGGCAGGACGGCTTCTGCTGTCAGGGACGGCTGCAGGGGCTGAAGCTGGGGCTGCAGCCAGGGCTGCCCAGGGCTGTCCTGCAGAGCAGCTCCTGCAGCCCTCACGGCTCTTGGCCAGCCCAGGGCATGTGCCACCTGCCAGGGGCAGCTCTCAGCCTGCCTGGCAGCTCCCCATGGACGCTGCAGGGGAGAAGTTGGAGGTGGAAGGAGCCACCCCCATCAGGGCAGATTCCTCCTGCTCTGGAGATGGTGCTGCATGGCCAGGGCTGCTCTCAGCTTTCTCCTCAAGGGAAGAGAAAAGGGGCTGTCAGCTTTGTCTGTGTCACTGAGACTCCTGCACTGTCACCCTGGGCATCAGCAGATGGGCCTCAGATCACCCTCAGAAAGTGCCTTCTCAGCCTCCTCTCCCTACAGACAGCAGCAGCAGCTCCTTGGCTTGCAGCATCTCTGTTTGTCTGGCCTGCCCTTAAGGCCCTGCTGCCAGGGAGATGCCCCTGGGGAGTTCCCTGTGCTGGGAGGGGTCTGCAGGGCAGAGCTGAGTCCCCAGGGCTGGGCTGGGCTCTGGCAGCATTGGCAGGGACAAGGCTTGGGTAAAGAGAAACAGCTCCCAATAGGCACAACTCCAGGCAGCAGAGAGCCAGACCAATCCTTTGCTTCCCTCCATGTCCTGCTTCATAGGGAGAGAGAGAAGAGTTGGAGAGATTGATTTTGAAACTGGAGTCTTCAAAAAAAGCCATGTTATTTTAAAGAGCAGTTTTTAATTGGTACATCCTGTACTAGAGCGAGGGGAAATGAGCAAAGGGCGCCTGTGTTGGCCCAGCAGGTCTGAGTGCACTGGGGCACAGGGAGCCCTGTTTTCCATCTGGCCTCCCCAGTGTTCAGCCTGAGAGCAATGTTAAGAACAGGACTTTTGTCCCTTCTGAAAAGCACACAGTTACTTTGTAGCCCAAAGCTACACTGAAAAAAAAAAAAAGGTAAATGAAATTTCCCCAGAGAAAGAGAAGCAATTTTGAGTGCCTGTGAAAGAAAATAGCATAGGATATACTCCAGGTACTTTGTCCAAATTGTCAATGTTGTCTTTGAACAGCTCAAAATGTCCAGAATGAAGGAATGTCCAACAGCAGCTCCATCAGGCACTTCCTCCTGCTGCCATTGGCAGACACGCCGCAGCTGCAGCTCCTGCACTTCGGCCTCTTGCTGGCCATCTCCCTGGCTGCCCTCCTGGGCAACGGCCTCATCATCAGCGCCGTAGCCTGCGGCCACCACCTGCACACGCCCATGTTCTTCTTCCTGCTCAACCTGGCCCTCAGTGACCTGGGCATGATCTGCACCACTGTCCCCAAAGCCATGCACAATTCCCTCTGGGACACCAGCACCATCTCCTATTTAGGATGCGCTGCACAGGTGTTTTGCATTGCCTTTTTCATGTCAGCAGAGTTTTCTCTCCTGACCATCATGTGCTGTGACCGCTATGTGTCCATCTGCAAACCCCTGCACTATGGGACCCTCCTGGGCAGCAGAGCTTGTGCCCACATGGCAGCAGCTGCCTGGGCCAGTTCCTTTCTCCACGCTGTGCTGCACACAGCCAATACATTTTCCCTGCCCCTGTGCCACGGCAATGCCCTGGGCCAGTTCTTCTGTGAGGTGCCCCAGATCCTCAAGCTCTCCTGCTCCAAATCCTACCTCAGGGAACTTGGGCTTATTGTGCTAAGTGCTCTTCTATTTTTTGCTTGTTCTGTGTTCATTGTTTTCTCCTATGTGCAGATCTTCAGGGCTGTGCTGAGGATCCCCTCTGAGCAGGGACGGCACAAAGCCTTTTCCACCTGCCTCCCTCACCTGGCTGTGCTCTCCCTGTTCATCAGCACTGCCTATTTTGCCTACCTGAAGCCGCCCTCCATCTCCTCCCCATCCCTGGATCTGGCCCTGTCAGTTCTGTACTCGTTGGTGCCTACAGCCCTGAACCCCCTCATCTACAGCCTGAGGAACCAGGAGCTCAAGGATGCCTTGGGAAAACTGGTGACCGCAACTTCAGAAGCAATAAATTCTCTTTTCTGCTACAGAGCCTTTAGAATATAACTCTTTTCAATCTCAGCCTTTTTTTCCCTATTTGTCTATTCTTTGCTATGGTAACTTTTTCTATTTTTGTAGTGTTTCTATCAAAATACTGTATTGTTACTCTTAGCTTTTTACATGAATATCTACATTTCTTTTGAAATAAAAATACTTGCAAGTGGTCTGTTCCCTTGGTGTTTAAATAAAAACAAGTGCCTGCCTGACTTGTCTGTCCAAGGCATTTCCTGAGCCCTTTCCTGTCTCTGCACGGGCAGTGCCGGTGAGCGGAGGTGCGGGAAACGATTCCCAGCGCAGCAGCACAGCCAGGGACAATGCCCCCGCCTCTTCCCCCATCTGCTCTGCCCAACTCCACCTTGTCCTTGCCAGCCCTGCTGCGGCTGTAAGGCCGGAGTGCTCTGGCAGCTTGGTCACTGTCCTGCTGCGTGTCCCTGCTGTGGCCACAGGCAGGGCCAGGCCATGGGCACTGCTGGGACACAGCTGGGCTCCAGCACAGCAGCTCCAGCAGCAAAGGGCATCTCCTGAGGGCAGGGCAGGGAGGCTTTGCTCCCCTCCAGAGCTGCTGTCAGCAATGTGCTCCAGGAATGCCCTGGCACAGCAATGTCCAGTGCCTGGGGTGGGGGGGGGAGTGTGCAGGGGGGGCTCACAGCAGTGTCCTGGCACAGCCAGAGCTCCTGGCATGGACCTGAGGCAGCAGCAGAGCAGGGCCTGGGCTGTGTCTCTGTTCTGGGACAGCCTGGGAAGGTGCCCCAGGGCAATTGTCCCACACCAGCCCCTGCAACCACCATTGCCAGCACTGGCCTCTCCCCACCTGCAGGAGGTTGTTTGTCCCTGCACGGAGGGACACCAAGTGACCAGGCCAGCAGGCCATGTTTGCTCTGTGCTGAGGAGATCGCAGCAGTACATCGTGTGTGTGTGAGTGGAGATGAACCCCAGTGAGCACAAACACCATCAGCAACACCCGGGGATGGCACAATTCCAGTGGCACAAACAGGACCTTGAGGCCGCTTCACTCTGAGAGTAACGTCCTCTGGGAAAACACCTGAATTCTTTGCTGGGTTGTGGTTAGGACTGCATAGAGAGGAATATCCCAGGCAGAGAGGCTCCAGGGAAAAATGCTCAGGGCAGCCATGGACTGCACAGGGAGACATTGGATAGAGTGAGGGTCTGTGGAGAGAAATCAGAGCTGCCTCCCTTCTGAAACAGCCCAGGGACATGGACAGGGCTGTGATGTGTTCTGGGAACTGACGTGGAACTGAGGGATGTGGAAAAGGCCTTTGGTGTCAGGGCTGTTGAGAAGGCTGGGCAGTGTCCCTGTGGGACCTCTCTCAAACCCCTTGGAAAGGCCAGAGCCATCCCAGACGGTCCTGGGCACTTGGGAAGGGCAGACATGGAACAGTCTGCACACAGGGCAGGGAGGGGAACTGGGAGAGTCACAGCCTGCTCAGGCTCAGCAGGGAAGGGGATGTGGCAAATCCTCCTGCAGCCATTCCAGGCACTGGCAGGACAGGGCAGGGACTGCAGAACCCACGTGGGAGAGAACAGAAGGGGATGTTGTGTGCCCAGACTTCAGCCAGGCCTGGGACAGGGTCTGCTGTGGCCTCCTCAGAGCCAGACTGGAGAGGGCTGGGCTGAAGGAGTGGAACATGGGCTGGGTGGGAATTTGGCTGAACAATGAGGGTCAAATGTCATCCATGATACAGAGTCCTCTTGGCAGCCACACCCTGGTGACATCCCTCATTGACCAGCCCTTGGCCACCACTGTGGAATATTTCTAGCGTCTCTAAAATGGCATGAAATGTACTTTCAATTCCTTTATGAATGCTGCCAGATTGCAGGGAGTCTGTGACTGAACTCATCTCGTTAATGGTGACTGCAAACTGTAATTGGGCAAGGTGACTGAGTTGGGTAAATTTATCTTGCCATCAGGTGCCAAGCAAGCCACAATAAAGGGCAGAAAAAACTTATGCATCAGAAGAAAGTCAGTTCAATAGGGAAAAACCCAAACCCAAACAAAAAATAAAAACCCCAAACCCAATCAAAAAAAACCAAAGCAAGACCCACCCACAACAACACAAAATCCCCAAAAACAAACCAACCACAAAAAGAAAAAGCCACAAATAGAAAAAAATCAAATTCACAGGATATCTCCTATCAGCAGAAAATGTTTAACCAACTTCTGGCAGGAGAGGATTCTGTATGTGTAGGTGCTGTTTGGAAAGAAAAATATCTGAAAAAAGAAATTAATCTCCTAATCCCCTTGTCCCCCTCCCCCCCCCCCCAGTTGATTACTGATCATGGTGTGACACGGAATGGAACATCCCTTGGGTCAGTCCAGCCCAGCTGTCCCATCCCTGTTCCCCAGGAACACTTACCCACCCCAGGCCCATAGGTTGGAGGGGGTTGCAGACGCCTCATGTGGGGCGAGCACTGAGACAAGGACAGGAGACCAGAACAAGATTTACTCTTGTCAAGGACAGTAGAACAGAACAGCTCAGCCTTGGAGAAACTGATTGAGGATGCACCTCTGGCAAACAGAAGTCACACACAATACAAGCAGGATGCCAGCACAGCTCTGCAAGGCAAACAAAACAGAAGTTATGCAAAATTATAATATTGCCGTTACTCAAAAGGAGGAGTCAAGGAAGAGCCACGTAAAAAGGGCACTGGATGTTGAAGACAAAACCCAAAGAACCATGAAAGGATTTGTGATAAGGGGTGCAGCTATGTCAAATAAACTCAAAGGAAGTGGGGATACCTCATCAATACAGAATGAATGTGTGTGATAAAAACTCTGTTCATTCAATGCCTAATGCACTCCAATGGAGGAAGGATGGCCCAAGGGACCACCATGCTGTAATAAAGAATACCTGCTTTCAAATACTCAAAACTCTGTTCAGAAGTTTTTATCCAGTGGATTTCAGTATCAGTGGTGTCCTTGAGTCCATTATGCCCCACAGTTTCACAATGGCTTCTTGGTTCCATGAGGCCCTGCTGTAGAACAATGGACCCTTGGTTCCATTGGGTTCCGTACTGTCAAAATGGCCTCCTTGGTTCTGCACTGCCACAATGCTCTCCTTGATTCCACGAGGCCTTGGTGTGTCACAACAGCCCCTTGGTTCCATCAACTGCCAGACTGTCACCCTGGTCTCTTGGATCTGCAGGGTCACAATGGACAACTGGTCACAAGCATCCCTGTTGTGTCACCATGAATAATTGGCTCCATGGAGCCCCCAGTGTCACAATGGCCCCTTGGCTCCAGGAGGTTCCACAGCATCACCATGGTCTCCTTGGATCTGCAGTATCTCCATGGACCATTGGTTCCATGTGGCCCTGCTGTGTCACAGTGGTTCCTTGGTTCCATGAAGCCCCACTGCATAACAATGGAATGTTGTCCTTTGAGGTTCTGTACTGTCACAATGGTCTCCGTGGTTCTGGACTCTAACAATGGACCCTTGCTTCCATGAGGTTCCATGATGTCACAATGGTCTCCTTGGTTCCACAAGGTTCCATGATGTCACAATGGTCTCCTTGGTTCCACAGGGCCTTGTTTTGTCACAATAGACCCATGGTTCCATAAGCTTACATTCTGTAACTATGGTCTCCTCAAATCCACATTGGCACAATGGACAATTGGCTCCATGGGCCCTCCTGTGTCACAATAACCCCTCAGTGTCATGAGGTTCTGTGGTGTCTCAATGGTCTGCCTGGTTCAATGAGGCCCTGGAGTGTCACAATGGCTGCTTGGTTCCATGAGCTTCCATAGCATCAACAATGGCCTCCTTGTTTCTGCAGTGTCACAATGGATCCTGGCTCCACGAGGTCCCTAAATGTCAGTGGTCTCCTGGGTTCCATGTGGCCCTGCTGTGTCAACACAGCCCCTTGGTTCCATGAGTTTCTGTACTGTCAGCAACAGTTTCTTTGTTCCACTGAGGCCCTGCTGTGTCACAATGGACCCTGGGTTCCATGAAGTTCTTCAGTGTCACAATGGCCCCCTGGATCCATGAGGTCCCACAGTGTCTCCATGGTATCCTTGGATCCACGCTGCCATAATGGGCCATCGGTGCAGCCGGAATAGCAGCTAATAAAGCCCAGGGTAGGGAAGCAAAAAGGGCCTTTGCATGGAATCCACAGATGTTTAATTCAGCCGTGCGGTGAGATGTTCAGGGTCACAAGGCAGGACTCCTGAGAGGAGTCCAGGTTTCTGTATCTCCAGAGGAAGGGTCTGATCAGTGCCATGGGGGCAGTACAAAGATGGGGCCAGTGGGGGAAAGGGGAGGGAGTGGCTGAGGGACACAGAACAAGGGGAAGGAGCCAATGGGGTCGCACAGCTTTTGAGGGAAGCTTCTTGTGTCTCTCTAACCCAGGGAATGCCTCTCAGGGTCTCCACAGCTGCAGAGTGTGAAAATGGCTCCTTGGTTCTTTTGGGCTCCCCAGGATCCCAGTGGCCCCTTGGCTGCATGAGGCCCAGCTGTGTCACACTGGCCCCTTGCTTCCATTGGGCCCCACAGTATCACAATTGTCCCTCCCCTCAGTTCCATGAGGCCCTGCAAAGTCACAATGGACCTCTGGTTCCATAAGTCCCACATTGTTCCATGAATCCTTAGTTCCATGGGGATGTCACATCCTTAGTTCCTGTAGTGTCACAATAGTCCCTTGCTTCCATGGTGCCACACAGAGCCACAATTGCCCAACAGGGCCTCATAGTGTCACAATGGACTCCTTAGTTCTATAGGGACACAAAGTGCCACAATGGCTCTTTGGTTTCACAAGGCTTCAAAGTGTAAAAATGGCCCCCATGGTTTCATGCAGCCATACTGTGTCAAAATGGACTTTTGTTTCCATGATGCACCACAGTGTCACAGTGGTCAGCTTGGTTGTGCACTGTAAGAATGTCCCATTGGTCACTCAGAGCCCCACAGTGTCACTATTGTGCCCTTGGTTCCATGAGGCCATGCTGTGTCACAATGCCCTTTGGTTCCATGAGGTCCCATGTGTCATAATGATCTCCATGGTTCCATGAGGCTTCGCTGTGGCTCAATGGCCCCCTTGGTTCCATGATGTCCCATAGCAGAGCAATGGTCGCCTTGGTTTCATGGGGTCAGAAAGGCCCCTTTGTCCCATGGAGCCCCACAGTGCCACTGTGGTCCCCTTGATTCCATGAGGCCCTGCCGTGTCATGGTGGCTCCTTGGCTCTATGAGGGAAAGCAGAATCAGAATGGCCCCTTGGTTCCATGGAGCACCACGGTGTCACCACAGTCCTGTT